CCTTAAAAAAAATAAAACTAAAGTAATTAATTTGCTCAAAGACTTCTATGGTACATATTTCTACAAGAGATTCATGGGGCGTACACATTTTGCAAAGAATAATCCACTGTGTTTGGCTGATAGAGTGAATGATTTTGTTCCTGGTTACTACGGATTTTTAGGTTATAGAATACTTTTCGATTTTATTAGCAAGATTATTACAGAAAATACTTTGATATTATCAGAAATTGATAGGGATAATTTTATTAGTGAGGTCATCATTCCAGAAATGGGTGTACAACTAATTATGGAAGATTTAAATGTTGATTATGAATTAGGTATTGAGATTCGTGAATTTAGTTTTGAATATGGTTCAGTATATTTTATCAGTAATGAAGATCTTTCGTACAGTTTTGTGGTAATGGATGCATTTATGAATAAGGTAACTAAGGAGCTTATGGGTGATCTGAATAAAGATATAGAGTAACATGTGCTATATAAACATATGTGATGATTTCTGTATTTTTCATATATATTAGTAATCGATATTTTATAGATAAGCAAGTGCATTAGAGATCTTCGAATAAATTACCAGGAATAGAAAATGTATTCGTTTGATTTCTTTGTCTTCATCTTTGCATTTCGAAAATCTTTACTTTATTTATTTAATATATATTTTAAATAATTTTTGATTTGTAAGTGGTGAATAAAGCGTATTACATGATGTGTTATTTAAATATTAAAAATCATTTTTGTAATTCATCTGCTTATCATTGATCGATATGATTTTGGATTTACAATGTTGCCAATCCAATGATACCCACTGCAATAGATCGATCACTCTTATTCACTATTTCATACTCTGACAATGGGTAAGATGTTAGATCGATTGATCGATCACATGAGTTTACAAGTAGTCTAACAGAATATTGTAATTCGGTGAAATCGAATTCATTTTCTGAAGAAATATAGTTAGGTAAAATGACAGCACAAAGGTTACAAACGAATATACTTTCTGTATGTTCGACAATCTCTGTGCATAGCTTTGGTGTCACGATTGGTCCAATGTTACTTTGGTTAGATTTTTTATTGGTATTATCAATAAAGAACAAAAACGGTTCACCAGTATTACATTGCATTTTGATTATATCAAAAAATAACTTCCGTGCTTTGATCATTTTCTTGCGTTTTAACTCTACCTCACAACGAATATATGCATTATTGAATTTCTGACCATATAATCTGTTTAGGTCATATCCTAGTAATATCTTTGCATCCATGAGTGAAAAGATAGTCCAATAATCATCATCTCGAACGCGTACCATAAATATATCTGGAATGGCAATATAGTGATTCAGATCTGTTATACGTAACTCTGGTACCTGTAACTCATAGCGGATTCGTAAAAACTCCTCTACATCACGATGCCAAATCGCTAGGTTTACCATAATCACTTTCTTGCGTTTGTTATCTCCCTGGTCAACGTACTTGGCCATTTCATTATAAACACAAAGCATTCTATATACACCAGAAGAATATCTACTAGATCCTTTAATATAATCACTATTTGTACGGATGTCACTAACATCGATCCCAATCCCACCACAATTCTTTGATATCAGGGCGATATCTTTTAAACTTTCATATATTCTTTCAATCGAATCTCCCTTTATCTTTGCAATAAAACAACTAGCAAGTGGATTATTTTCTATGCAAGAATTTGCACGTGTAGGCGTGGCCATGCTTATCTTGTTAGAGACCATTATATGATAACATTCTTTTAACTTTACGAAATTATCAGAGTATATTTGCAAAGCGATCCGTAATAACTCGTATTATACACAGTCAATCTCCCCATTTCCTATTTTCTTGAAAAACTTTTTCAGTTTCGTACATATTCCATGTACCCATGATCGTATTCTCTGGTAAAATCGATAAGGGAATCAAAAAATTCTTTATTTTTAATAACAATATCATGATATCTTTTATCAATGAGTGGAATATGTTCCTTAATTTCATTGGTAACTTTGTGAAAATTATCATAGAGAAGCATTACGTGTTCAGAAAATATTTGGGAAATATGTTCTAACTGATGCTTAGCAAGTATCTGACCGGCAATAATATAGAAGTCATAATGTTTACCGATTCGAAATTGTGCTTCTATTGCTAGATACTCAATCACTTTAGTCTTGTCAGATAAATCAACAATATCATTTATAACATCA